CCTATCCCCTGTGTGCCTTGCCTCCCACGACTTTATCAGACACATATACATGATCATTTACAGTATCATGTGCAAGAACACAATTGTCTAAATGTGAGATTTACATATTTATAGACGAGTATCTATCTCTAAATGAACTAATGCAAATCAAAAGATGGTTGATTCAAAATTCTAATTCTATAGTAGGGTTCGGAGTTTTTTTATTTTATTAATGATTAATTTGGGGCTTACTAGCTTAGGGGGACTACAAAGGAATTTGATTTTATATTTTGGACATGGAAGTTTCCAACTATTCAGAGTTTGGATGGTCCTTGAAAAGTTGTGTAGGTATCCTATTATCATCATTGTTCATGTGGGTGCTTAAAAGGGAGGAAGTGAACTCCTATTTTGAGGGATTTGAGAGAGTATTATGTTGGTTAGAGATACAAAGAGTGATATATCTTTTTAGGTTCTATTTTCTCTCATTATTTCCCTTTTTTTATCCTTTTTTTTGTATTTAAGGGTGGGAAGTCCCTTTTTAAAGACGCTTTTTTTTTTTTTGGATAATTTTTTAATGAAAGAAAGAGTGCTTCTTTGGAGAAATAAAGTGCTTCTTCTTATTTTTGGCTTAATTTACAGTCACACTTTTTCTCCTTGTATAACTAAATTTTGCTTGTTCTAAGTCTAAAAATGACTGAATTCCAGGGCTCCTTTTACATCAATTGGTATCGGAGCACAGTTTAAAAACGGTTAGAGACTGCAAGGACTGGTTATTGTGGCCGTGACAGCAACTGGTGTGAATATGATGTGTTTGTTTCCATTGGTTTGGGTTCGGGTTGTAATGATGATCCTATAGGTGAAGAAGAAAAAGGTGACTAGTCTGAAAATTTTTCTTCCCAAAAACCATGTCCAAGGCAATACTATTTCTGCACTGGCGGATGTTCAAAGCATGGGGAATGGTGTGTCACTGAACTCGCTGATTTTGCACAGCCAAGGGAAGATGGGGCAAATATTTTAGTATATGACTGACACAGGGAAAAGCCCTTTGGGCCATACAAGAATGGATCATGGCTCTGCTGTTGACAATAGAATGAATCATCGCTCTGGTATTGACAATAGGAAGGATGGCGATAACATGCATGAGAATAAACATGGTCTAGTGGCTATTTCTTGGATGAGGTTGGATCTTGAATACCAAAAGTCATTCATGCATTGTCAACTAAAGTCATGCTGCTTATGCTCCATGAATGCATCACAATAATAACTCTGGCAATCCAGATAAGACAACATACTCTAAAAACAGCGGCATCACCCACAATGGTGTAGATCTATCTTCACCTATGATTTTTTTATCACGACGTTAATTATGATGATTCAAATAGGCATAGGGAAACCACGGCGGTAATATTGAAGGTAAGTGCTCAAACTAATGATGCCATGCCAATCAATGAGATTAACTGCCTACAAAATCGGTCTTTAACTAAACAAATCAGATTGAGCATTCCAACTAAATCAATATCAGTTTGTGCGAGCCTCTCCCAGGTTGAGGGACCCCAGGTTCTCTCCAAGGGCAACATCAAGTACCATAACGTGGGACCTACATCAGTGGTATATAATTCTCACCAGCGTGTTTCTCTCAATGACACTTGTCATAAGATCAAGACCAAAGCTGAAACTTCTCAGCCTGAAATAGTTGAGGGCATATCAACACATTCAAAATCTCCTAGTGCTATAACTTTAGGAGTAGCTGATAATGAATAACTTTTTGGCCGAGGATCATATCATTGACAATATATTGAGATCTGTTTTTTTATACAGGTGCCATGAAAGTGGGCATGGAAGTGGGCATGGCCATCCACATGCAGTCAATGATGGTTTTGATAGTGACAACGAAGAAGGTATTAATATATCTACTGAATCTATAGGGGATTATCCTTGTGATGGTGAGTGTGAATCACATTATGGTTCTCAATATGTAGGTTCTGTTACAGATAAGAGAGTTGATGGCAAAGATGATGATAATCAGTATGAAGATGAAGTTAGGAAGATAAATTTTGCACAGCTTCTTACGCTCAATGATGGGCTAGAGTCCCATGCTCAATTTGTTGTCTTGGAGCAACAAACCAGCCAAATAGTATTGACCTTACTTTGAGAAGGTTTGAGAGGTAAATCGGCATTGGTGGGTTCCTGGTAAAGTTGGGCTGGAGGTGCTATGAAACTAGACCAAGGAGATGAAGTTTGCTGAAGATGTTCATCCAAAGAGAATCACAATGTATGCTCATGGATATGTTGGAGCCAATCTTGATGTTGGAAACCTTTGACAACAGGGGAGTATGACGCAAATTAAACTCATCCTTAAGGGGATGATGCGGTTTGGAGAGAGTGAAGCCAAGCTGTTGGAAACCTTTGACAAGGGCCACCAGCCTTTGCCGTTCGTTCTCTTGTTTGATGAGTTGAATTTCATTACTACTCAGAGGAGCAGTACTGGAGATGCTGGGGGTGACACACCTATTGTGGACATTGCTTCACTAAAAGATAAAAGAAGCTAGACGTCTCCTCTTTGGTTGACTTCAGTCTGTGGAGAAGCTGAAATGGGTATCAAGGAAAATTGTGTGGATACATATACCCATATAGGAAACAAAGATGTAGGTGCTGATAGGAGGAAAGAGGACTTCTACCCAAAGAATCGGGCAACTGATGCACTTAGTTAACAGTCATATTACATATCCAGATATCCGAATGTGTTTTGGGTGTTTGTCATGGGAGTTGCCAAGTGGATGGAACCTCTCCTCATTCCTCAATATCCGAAATCGGTTCATGTTTCATGATGATGACGGCCCCTACTATTTCCAAGTAGAGATCTCACCCTACACATGCACGCTACTAAAGTTGGTTGTGCCCAAACCCTCATCAACTTGTTCGAAGACATCTTGATTGAGCCTGTTACCCACCGGTCAAAGGATCAGGCCCCAATGTCAATGCGCAATGTTTGGGACGGAAAAGACCGTGAGCAAGGGGGAGGATTCATATTAGCCCATTTCAAAACTCAAGGATGAGTCTTCTCCAACTAGGGGAGTATGATGCAAATTAAAACATGGCTGCTTCAAAATTTTAATTCTATTTTCTTGTATAATAGGGGAGGCTTGGAATTTTTTATTTATTAACAATTAATTTGGGGCTTATTGGCTTAGGGGGCCTAGAAAGAAACTTTATTTTCTATTTTGGTGTGGAAGTTTCCTACTTGCTAGGGTCTGGATAGTACTTAAAATGTGGCGTGTATTATTTTGGAATTCATGGAGTGCATGAAAGGGAGGAAGAGAAATCCTATTTTGAAGGGATTTATGAGATTCCTCACTTCTGAGGGATTTAAGAGAGTATTACATGGTTAGAGATATAGAAAGGGATACATCTTTTCGGCTTCTATTCTCTCTCTCTCTCTCT